ATGTTCTAACTTTCTTGACTGAGTGTTTTATCAAGACAGAAAATAAAAACGACTGCAAACCAATTACAGTTGGATATAATTCAATTGAGACACCACACCACATTCACTCATCTAATCTTTTCCATCTTCAATAAAAAAATACATAATGGCTGGACGTGGTGGCTCATGCCTGTAATTACAGTACTTTCGAAAGGCTGACGTAGACAGATCACGTCAGGTCAGGAGTTCAAAACCAGCCTGAGCAACATGGCGAAACCCCATCTCTACCAAAAACACAAAAATTAGTCGGTCATCGTGGTGCATGCCTATAATCCCAGCTATTAGGGAGGCTGAGACAGGAGAACAGCTTGAACCCAGAAGGCGGAGGTTGCAGTGTGCTTTCATTTATTATATTGTGGTTAATTAATTTTACTGTGATCACATACAAAATGTATATTACTTAGGAAATATACATTGGGGGTAAAGGGCCATCATGTTCACAACTTACAATCACCTGGTTCAGAAAAAGAAAAATTAACCTGTTCACAGAGAGAGAAAGTCTCTGCACACACAACAAAATGTTAACAAATACAGTATGTGGTGAAAGATATAACAGGAATTTCTATACAATTGTTTTTTCTTTTTTTTTTTTTCTGAGACAGAGTCTCACTATGCTGCCAGGCTGGAGTGCAGTGTCATGATCTTGGCTCACTGCAACCTCTGACTCCCTGGTTCAAGTGATTCTCCTGATTCAGCCTCCCAAGTAGCTGGGACTATAGGCACGTGCCACAATGCCCAGCTAATTTTTGTATTTTTAGTAGAGACAGAATTTCACTATGTTGACCAGGATGGTGTCTCGATCTCTTGACCTCACGATCTGCCCGCCTCAGCCTCCCAAGGTGCTGGGATTACAGGTGTGAGCCACAACACCCAGCCTATTCTTATAACTTTTCTAAATCTGAAATTATTCAAAATCAAAACCAAAACAAAACAATAATTTTTTATATCTGTGGGAAGTTGTGCAAGATGGGAAGATCTGTGAGATGAAGAAGAGATTAGCTGCTTTCCCATATTGCCAGTTTGTATGTGAGGAACAGGCTTCTCTGCTTGGGAGTGAATCTACCAGAAGCTTAGAAACCCTAAGGCAGCCTCCGCCTAGAACCTTGCATTTGTTGAGTCACCACTATGCTTGGCCTTCAAGCAGCCAGCTTCTGGAGAGGCTCTTTTTCATTGCTTCATTCAAGTCTCTCTTGTCAATGCTTAGTCTCTAAAGACTAAGAGATTTTGACTAAGGGACTGAAAATCCCCCTCCAAACTACCTATTGAGAAGAATCCTTAACTGTTACCTTCATTAACAGAATCCTACTAGAAACCTACCTTAAAACCACATGGTGGCTCACACCTGTCATTGCAGCACTTTGGAAGGCCAAGGAGGGTGGATCACCTGATGTCGGGAGCTCGAGACCAGCCTGGCCAACATGAGAAAACCCTGCCTCTACTAAAAATACAAAAATTAGCTGGGCATGGTGGCACACGCCTGTGATCTCAGCTACTAGGGAGGCTGAGGAAGAAGAATCGCTGAAACTGGGGAGATGGAGGTTGCCTCGAGCCAAGATCACCACTGAACTCCAGACTGGGTAACAGAGCAAGATTCAGTCTCAAAAAAAAAACCCTCAGGGTCTAGTTCACTGTGCATGTTTTTGGCTTCCAGAGAGAATAAGAGAAAAGAGGCAATCGCCAGAACTTTAGGTTAGAATTTCTTTCTTTTTTTTTTTTTAAGAGTCTTGATCTGTTGCCCAGACTAGAATGCAGTGGTGCAATCTCAGCTCACTGCAACCTCCATCTCCCAAGTGCAAATGATTCTTCAGTCTCAGCCTCCTGAGTAGTTGGGATTACAGGCACCCAAATCCATGCCCGGATAATTTTTGTAGTTTTGGTGGAGATGGGATTTCACTGTGTTGACCAGGCTGGTCTCCAACTCCTGACGTCAAGTGATCCGCCTGCCACAGCCTCCCAATGCTGGGATTACAGGTGTGAGCCACCATGCCCAGCCTTCAGGTTAAAATTTGTCCTGATGTTCATGTGGTTTCAAAATTTCAAATAAAATTTCCTCATGGTATAAATGCCTTGGCTTCACATTATTTATATGATTCAAATGGAATCCTATCAAATTCAATGAATATGAGTCAAGTGGATTCATAGGGGACATATAAAATTCAATTCAAATTCAAAAGCAGGCAAAAGTAATCTATGGTATTAAACCCTAGTTACTCCTGGGATGGCAGGAGGTATTGACCAGTAAGGACAGTTTCAAGGTCTTAGAAGTGATGAATATCTTGATCTAGGCTTTGGTTACAGGATTCTGTAATGTAAAAATTCAATGGGCTACACCTTAAAGATAAGCCTACTTGACTACATGTGTATTATGCCTCAATTTTTTAAAAGAATGTTTTTTTGAAACAGGGTCTCATTCTGTCACCCAGGATAGTGTGCAGTGGCACAATCATAGGTCACTGCAACCTCAAACTGCTAGGCTCAGTGAAGCCTCCCATCTCAGCCTTTCCAGTAGCTAGGATCACAAGTATGAGCTACCAAACCTAGCTAATTATTTTTGAGACAGAGTTTCACTCTTGTTGCCCAGGCTGGAATACAATGGCACAAGCTTAACTCACTGCAACCTCTGCCTCCAGCTTCAAGTAATTCTCCTGCCTCAGCCTCCCAAGTAGCTGGGATTACAGGCACCTGCCACCAAATCCAGATAATCTTTTTTTTTTTTTTTTTGTATTTTTAGTAGAGATGAAGCTTCACCATATTGGCCAGGCTGGTCTTGTACTCCTCATCTCAGGTGATCTACCTGCCCTGGCCTCCCAAAGTGCTGGGATTACAGGTGTGAGCCACTGTACCTAGCCTGCCCAGCTAATTTTTAAATTTTTTTTGTAAAGATGGGTTTTCATTATGTTGCCCAAGCTGGTCTCAAGCTCCTGGCCTCAAGCGAGCCTCCTACCTACCCCAGCCTTCCAAAGCACTGAAATTACAGGCGTAAGCCACTATGCCTGGCCAAAAAAGGAATATTTAGTGACCTGAAAAAGGGTCTGTTATATAAATGAAATTATCTTGATTCAAACTTAGAAATTTTGTTCAAACACAGCCACATCTTGCCTCTCCCCGTGGTGCTTCTCCCCGCAATGAATATCCCATTAAATTAGAGATCAAAAACAGACTACACTAATCTGTAAGGTTAGAAGCTAGGAGAATGCTTCCCTTTGGCAGAGTAGTGACTGGGAGGGGCATCACGGGGCCTGGTGCTACAATGCTATTTTCTGATCTGAGTGCATTACCCAAGGGTATTCCCTTGCAACAATTCATTGAGCTGCATATTTACATACATGTTTGCATATATCTGATAACATAATAAAAGGTTTATGTTAAAAAAAAACTTTTTTAAAAAATTATTTGCTCTGAAACCTGGCACTCAGCACAATATAGGTGGTGAACGGAATCAACTTGGAAAAAAAAACAACCCAAACTCCTTACCCTGGCTTATTATTTCACCCATGTTAAGCAGCTATCTGTCTTTGATTCTGTGCAAATAAAAAACAGGGACTATCTGCCTTTAAAACTAAAACATGACCTATGTGGGTTCTGAAAGATATTACCTGCCTTAGCATTCAGCTGCCTTTATTTCTTAAGGAGCATTGTGCATTGTCTGAAGGTTACATAAAGATCAAATGCAATAATTTTTTAAAGTTAAAATATTGTTTTGGCATTGCATCTTTTCATTAGAGTAATGGTTCAAATCTTATTTCCTAACTCAGAAACAGAAAGTCAAATACTGCATGTTCTCACTTATAAAATAATAATGTATACACATGAACATAGAAAACAGAATAATAGAGGCTGGTAACTCTGAATGGAGGGAGTTACGAGACAGGTACAATGTACATTATTCAAGTGATAGTTGCACTAAAAGCCCAGTCTTCCCCACTATTAAATACATCCATGTAACAAAACTGCACTTACAGCCTCTAAAGCTTTTTTTTTTTTTTTTGAGACACAGTCTCACTCTGTTGCCCAGGCTGGAGTACAGTGGCACAGTCTCAGCTCAATGCAAACTCCACTTCCCACGTTCAAGTGATTCTCCTGCCTCAGCCTCCCAAGTAGCTGGGACTACAGGCTTATGCCACCACGCTCGGCTAATTTTTTAAATTTTTAGTTAAAATGAGGTTTCACTGTGTTAGCCAGGATGGTATCGATCTCCTGACCTCATGATCTGCCCACCTTGGCCTCCCAAAGTGCTGAGATTACAGGCATGAGCCACCATGCCCAACCCCACTAAATCTATTTCTTTAAATTGTATTTCTATTTTATTTGCAATCCCATCTCAGCCATTTTAATATAGTTCAATTTCAATTTCAGTGAAGAAAGGTTTCTAAAAGTAGCTTTAAATTTTGTTTTGTGGTTCTTGTGGCTTTATCTTTTTTGAATTTTTCTGCCAGGACTTTATAAGGAACTGATTGAGGTTAAACATGGCCATGCCTAAAATACACAGGACAAGGCAAAAAGACTCTCAGAATACAATAAATTCCAAATCTAGTTTCTCTTCCTTTGATAATTTATTTTTAAGTTGAGCCTAGATAAAAGTATTTTCTAAACACTCTCAGTTTGCTCTTTCAGCCATATCTTTTACATTATCATTTTATTTTATTTTATTTATTTTTTGAAACAGAGTCTCATTTTGTCACCCATGCTGGAGTGCAGTGGTACAATCTTGGTCCACTGCGACCTCCACCTCCTGGGTTTAAACGATTCTCCTGCCTCAGCCTCCAGAGTAGCTGGAACCTGAGGCGCCTGCCACCACAACTGGCTAATTTTTATGTTCTTAGTAGAGGTAAGGTTTCACCATGTTGACCAGACTGGTAACTCCAGACTTCAAATGATCCACCCACCTCAGCCTCTTAAAGCACTGGGATTACAGACATGAGCCACCGCTTCCAGCCCACATTATCATTTTAGATACTTACCCAGTAAATTTGTTTTCTAACCACAAGCAAGGTCACATCTATCCCAGCTGTCACAGAGTCAGAATGGATTTCCAGAAACCAGGCTTACTCGTGGGATGCTGTCACAGATGCATATGTCATTACCTTTGCCAGAAAGAACCTTAAAGGAAACGTTAAGAAAAAATATGCATTAGATCCCTAACAAGAACAATAAAAGCCACATCTTTAATAATATGTTACTTTGGATAAGTTTAGCAGGCAACCCTTTCAAATTATTTTCATTATTGTGGAGAACAATAAAAAGGGGGTGTGTTCAAAACAGTTTTGAGATGGGCCTTGGTGGAGATGAACTGGCTGCTATTCAGCTAAGGAGTATAATGTGAGTGAAATGTGTTCCCATTATGCAGGCTTGCAGCCTCAAATCTGTGATTTTCCCATCCCCAATCTCCACATTTCCGGAGCCTCAACACCAACCCCTATAAGCCTCCTAATCAGACACATAGTGTCCCCAATCACAGGCCTCCAGTCTCCAACCCTCAGAGGTTCTCATAGTCATTGATATTCCCGTATGTTCAGATCTGATCAGGAAAGACTACTGGTAACTACACTGATCAGATCTGATTGCCAGTGAATTACACAGATCCCAGTCACAAACCCACACTGATCGCCGATGATATCCCAAAGACTGGGGATCAACTGTTGATTCTCACACTCCCACCCCCACCCACAAGTGACAGTCCGAATCACCGAGCCTCATTGAGGTGTACCTTTAAGATAAGCACACTTGACTCTATTCTCCATTCCCTGATCTACAAAAGTCCAATCATTAATACTCTCCGATCCTCCACCCATAATATGAAGGACGTCTCAATCACCAGTGGCCCAAAACATTTCTCCAAACATTAATCCCCACTGACCCCCCCTCATAATTGGACACCAAAGTTTCCACAGTCACCAATTCTAGTATCCAAACTATTACTGCCCACAAAACTTAGAACCTCCAATCACTGATCCTCTCGGGCTTCGGTCATTAACCCTAAAGCTCTGCAAACCCGTGTCTGAAAAATCCCACTTGACCCCAGACCATTGTAACTGACCACTATGCACCCTGCAAATCAAGACATTTCACAGAACCCGCGTTTATTGATTCCCACACACTCCCAATCTATCTTCTTCAGAGACCGTGCCACTGACTCCCGCAAACCTGTGCCCGCCACCACTGAAGCCCCGCGAGGCTCAGACGCCCAATCTCTTAACCCTTCAGTCCCCTTGTCATTGAACCTTACGAGCACCCATAACTGACCCAGTCGGCCACCGTAGTCGCCGGGTCACTCTCTTCCTCCAGTCCCCAGGTTTGACCGTTTCTCAAACTGACCCGTCCCAGTTATGCTGGATCCGTGCCCTTAATCCGAAATTGATCGTCCTGCCACGCCGCCTCACTGCGGTATAAAGTCGTCCCATCCTAAATGGCCGGTGCGCAGACTCAATTGCGACATTTAGGCTATCAGCCGCCACCCGGCAACATTTCAGACAACAGGATTCTGGGTTTCTCAAAGCTGTAATAGGAGGTATGATGGCGGCTCCCACTTCACTCTTACTGGGGGCGGCCATGTTTAAAGCTGTGCCGTACAACAGATGATTAAGCCCTTTGCTAGACCAAAAGATCAGGCTATTTTAGGACAGGGAGAAGCAAGTTTCCCTGGGTCCCTAAACAGAGATGTCGTCTCTGCTCTTAACTCAGCATCTCGGATGCCAAAACCTCCTGTGACCGACATGGCGGCGCGCAGATTTCAGAGCTGAGCTTTCTTTGTCTCCAGCAGCCTCGTAAGATGGCCGCGTACATTTTTACAGCTTCTTACGTGCAATGGGTTAGGCCCCTCCGAGGAGGAGCTCCCCTATGACAATGTAAAACATTTTTCTGAGCTGGCTTTAAGGGTTAGAGAGCAGCGAAGAGTCCTGGTTTTCTATTAGGGTGACAGAGGTAGCCTATGGAGGGGGCGTGACCTTCACGGAGAGGGCGGAGCCGCAAGGAAAAGGCGGGGCCGCCGCAGCAGCAAGAGATCTGAGTTCTTAGCGCATGATGGGAAGGAAATGTTGAAAGCAAGGTCTTTACGTAAGGAGGCTTGCCCGAGAAGCCGACCTGAGGGAAGAATACGAGTGCAAGCAGTTTATTTGGCAGGTAGGGGATGGAGAAGTGAGACGGGACAGAAATGAGATGGGAGGGATGGCAACGAATATACAGTGCGTCGATGAACAGATTAGGCCTGCGATCAGTGGGGGCTCAGTCAGCTTGGCAACTCTGCGGGATTGTGTAGAAACCACTTCCAAGTTGTCACACCCACCAGGCCGATGAAGCTGAGATATGTATACAACATTTATCTTCCTCATTGTTTTAGGGCCACCCCAGCACTTCCTACCTGCCTCATGGGAAGGTCTCAGGCTGAGTCTGTATGTGCCTGCAGTAAGAAGCCAGCGGTATGCATAAGATTGCCCAGGGGTAGTGGCTGGGTACCCACAGCGTTCACTACAGTCCAGCCTTGAATACCACCTAATGCAGTGTTCTGCATATCACAGGTATTGGAACATCTCTGGAAAATATTGCCTTGTCTTACGAAAATGAATTTTTAAATAAATCCGAATTCCAACTGGTAATCCTAGCGACTGATTCAATAACTGACCTCCGAAATGATTCCTAGTGATTCCTACCTCCTGGTATTCACACTCTCATGTAGTCCCCTCCCACACTGTTCCAATGTTGCACTGTGAGACTAATAGAATACGGTAGCAGTATTAGCGTTTCTACTGCTTATATTAAATATAATAATAAAAGACATCTTGACTTCTGTCTTGAAGCCCGCTGCCCCCTCTTTGAGAAGTTACTCATGAGGACACTGAGAGACTATGGAGAGGCCCATGTAGAAAGGAACTGAGGCCTCCAGCCAATAGCCCAGGAGGAGCTAGGGCCTTCCTATAACCAAGTGAGTCACCCTTGGAAGCACATCTCCCAGCCCCAGTCAAACCTTGAGATGACTGCAGGCCCTGCCAATAGTTTGACTAACCGCATGAGAGACTCAGTCACAACCACTGAGCTATAGCAGCTCACATATTCCTGACCCTCAGAAAGTGTATGAGATACTAAATGTTTGTTGTTTTAGGCTTCTAAGTTTAATTTGTTATACATCAATAGATTACTTTGATGCTGTGTCAAAATGCTACAATTGACATTTCTGAATTCTTTTTGTTGTTTGTTTGAGACAGAGTTTTGCTCTTGTTGCCCAGACTGGAGTGCAGTGATCTTGGCTCACCACAACCTCCGGCTCCCAGTTTGATTTTCCTGGGGTAAAGCCATTTTTCTTTTCTTTTCATATTTCACCAGGTATGGGAAGTTGTAGATTTATAACCTGAGTCAATTAAGGAATTTCACATTATGAATTCAATTTGAGATGGACCGGGCTGGTGATACCTAGAAAGGGTAAATGAAAATTCACTCTGGAGGCAACTTCTGCCTCAAGGAGGCAGTAATTTTTCAGGAACAAGGACCAGCAAGTTGTCACAGATATCCAGCATGCAAGAGAGCAGAACCACATGAATGAGATCAAATAGATATAACAGATAGTATAAGCAGATCCATCTAACAGAGTAGCTTCGAACTAGAGATGTTGCTTTGGTTTGGGTTCAAGGCCCTCATTCTACTTCTCTTAGCCCACAATTGTGAGTCTTTAAGAAATATGAATATACATTACAGTGACAGCTAGCCCTTGTTATCTACTGTCAGTACATACCATGTCACCACTAATTTCCCATAAAACCTGCCTCCCCTCCAAAGTCTTTATAGGAGCTGTAGTAGTTGCCTCTGTTTAGAATATGGGGTTTATTTCCCACTGTGTCCTTTATAAGTGGTGGTAGATATTGTTTATTTCTAATCAGCACTAATTTCTACCTCTTTTTGTGCTCTTACCTGTGTTTCAGGGACTGAAAACCTAAGAATTTTACTTCCTAGATTACTTGCTATAGGTCATCTAAAGAGTCTGGTTACTGCAAAAGATATGGTAAATAAGATTTGGATAAAGAAGGGAGGTAGATGCGTTTTTTTTTTTTTTTTAATAACAGTGAAGTGAGATATAGACCAGCAGATACAGGCATCTAAGTGAACTCATCAGTCACCAGCAACAATTTTCTGAAACTTCCTGACCTCCAGATTGCAGCTTCATTGATGTGAGTTTAAAACCAGCCAGATGCCACTCTTAAGTTCCATGCATATGGCAAGGGTCCAGGAAATAAGAAACAGAGTTAAGGGGGTGGTGTCATGGGGCATTTACTTGAAATTTTTATGCTATAATTTTCTCATCTTTAAAATGGTGATAATAATCAAATTGTCAGTTATTAAATAAACTAACACCGTGAAAAAGAAAATTTCTTCAAGGCTGTTTTTGCTTTCAGTAACAGTTTCGGAAAGCCTTTCCAGTTTCTGCCCATTCTCATGTTTGAGGTTTGTCTTATGGGCATATTCTATTTCCAGTTTTGTTTGTCTAAACTCATCAAACTTCTTCCTTAAGATTGGTGTAATTTATTTATTTATTTAGAGATGGACTCTCACTCTGTTGCCAAACTGGAGTGCAGTGGCACGATCTAGGTTCACTGCAACCTGACTTCTGGGTTCAAATGATTCTCCTGCCTCAGCCTCTTGAGTAGCCCGGACTACAGGTGCACACTACCACGCCCAGCTAATTTTTGTATTTTTAGTAGAGACGGGGCTTCACCATGTTGGACAGCATGGTCTCTATATCTTGACATTGTAATCCGCCTGCCTTGGCCTCCCAAAGTATTGGGATTACAGGCGTGAGCCACCATGCCCAGCCTATTTTATTTTAGACTACATAAGTCATACCACAATAAAACTGATTTAAAGTATATGACACTTGTAAAAAGTAATTATACCTGGTATATAAAAATATATAGAAGATTTGAGTTTTGGCTGAAGACTGAAACTATTGTAGAAACAAAAAAATGGGCCAGGCGTGGTGGCTTATGCCTATAATCCCAGCACTTTAGGAGGCTGAGGCGGGTGTATCACTGAGGTTGGGAGTTCAAGAGCAGCCTGGGTAACATGGTAAAACCCCATCTCTACTAAAAATACAAAAATCAGCTGGGTGTGGTGGTGTGTGCCTGTAGTCTCAGCTACTCAGGAAGCTGAGGCATAAGAATCATTTGAACCCAGGAGGCAGTCAGCTCACACCACTGCACTCTAGCCTGGGTGACAAGAGCGAAACTCCATCTCAAAAAAAAAGGACTCTCAATGGAAATCAGTGGAAGCCAGATTTAGTGCTCTGAGGAAGGTCACATACAGTGAAAGAGGAACTGGATATCACTCAAGAATAAAAAGGGGCAAGACACAGTGCTCATGCCTGTAATCCGAGCACTTTGGGAGGCTGAAGGGGGCAGATTGTTTGAGGCCAGCCTGGGCAACATAGTAAAATCCTTAAAAAAAAAAAAAAGAATAAAAAGGAAAGTACAGATGAAATAACAGATAACATGAATTAGAAAGCCAAGGATGGCCACGGTTAGATACATCTTTTTTTTTTTTTAGACAGACTATCGCTCTGTTGCCAAGACTGGAGTGCAGTGGCAATCTCAGCTCACTGCAACCTCCACCTCCCAGGATCAAGCAATTCTCCTGTCTCAGCCTCTCAAGTAGCTGGGATTATAGGCACCTACCATCATGCCCAGGTAATTTTTTTTTTTGTTTTAGAAGTGACAGGGTTTTACCATATTGGTCAGGCTGGTTTCAAACTCCAGAGTGATCCACCTGCCTTGGCCTCCCAAAGTGCTGGCATTACAGGCATGAGTCACCATAGCTGGCCTCAGTCATTCTTTAATTGCAAAACTTTATTTGTTCATAAGAAACAGACACAGAGGAATATACACACATGAATAAAGCTCCATCACAGATATGGAAGACAAGAAGAGAAGGATGTGGGAGGCCTTACTTTGGGAAGGTGAGGCAGGCAGATCACGAGGTCAGGAGTTCAAGACCAGCCTGACCAACATGGTGAAACACTATCTCTACTAAAAATACAAAAATTAGCTGGGCATGGTGGTGCGCACCTGTAATCCCAGCTTCTCAGGAGGCTGAGGCAGGAGAATAGCTTGAGGTTGCAGTGAGCCAAGATTGTGCCACTGCACTATAGCCTGGCAACAGACTGAGACTCCATCTCAAAAAAAAAAAAATATATGCACTGTGCTAAAGCTAAGATTACACAAGTATCTCAATCTAAAGGCTATTAATGAGGCAATAGGGAAGAGAAGAGGGATTTAATTTTTATCTACTGCTTTAACTTCCACTTCTCTGGAGTGTGGTGGATAGGCCCTCTCCCTCACTCTGCCATCCTGTTTTTTGTTGATATTTTCAGTCATTCAGGTATGGATGTCTGAGGCTTCTCTTTGAAAGGAAAGGCTGGAGGTCATGCAGGAGAAATCAATCCCAATAGCCATGTAGATCCTGGACATTTGTGCAAGAGTGGTGAATTTTACATAAAGGCTGCGGTTTTAGTTAACAATACAATCCCCAAATTACTCTCCTCTTCTGCATGCATGGACTCTGGTCAGTTAGGTGTTATCATTAGGGGAAGGAATAAAAGGAGTTACAAGCACCTTCTTTAACCTCTTTCTGCACCTCTTGTCAGTCTAAAGGAGTTCCTCAGGAGAGTTTTGCGGTTGGGTGGTGGTGTGGTCCACTTGTTTTTGAAAAGGTGACCCCTCAAAGAAGGGAGGGGCTTCCTAATAATCCCAAAGTTATAATGAATAGGAAAAACATGAAGGCCTTTCCTCTAGGGACTGGAACAAGACAAAGATGCCATTTTTACCACTTTTTTTTTTAAGATGGAATTTTGCTCTTGTCTCCCAGCCTGGAGTGCAATGTCATGATCTCAGCTCACTGCAACTTCCAACTCCCCGGTTCAAGTGATTCTCCTGCCTCAGCTTCCCAGTAGCTGGGATTACAGGAATGTGCCACCATACCTGGCTAATTGTGTATTTTTTAGTAGAGACGGAGTTTCTCCATGTTGGTCAGGCTAGTCTCAAACTCCCAACCTCAGGTGATCTGCCCACCTTGGCCTCCCAAAGTGCTGGGATTACAGGCATGAGCCACCACACCCAGTCCATTTTTACCACTTTTATTCAACATAATACTGGAAGTCCTACCCAGGACAATTAAGCAAGAGAATGAAATAAAGTGACCCATATTAGAAAGAAAGTTATAAAATTGTCCTTGTTTGCAGATGATATGATCTTATATTTAGAAAAACCTAAAGAGTCCACCAACGCTATCCCCATCATGCTACCAATGACCTTCTTAACAGAACTGTAAAAAACCACCTTAAACTTCATATGGAACCAAAAGAGAGCCCACATAGCCAAGTCAATTCTAAGCAAAAAGAACAAAGTGGGAGGCATCATACTATCGGACTTCAAACTATACTACAAGGCTACAGTAATCAAACCAGCATGGTACTGGTACCAAAACAGAGATATAGACCAATAGAACAGAACAGGGGCCTTAAAGGCAAAACAACATATCTACAAACATCTGATCTTTGACAAACCTGACAAAAACAAGCAATGTGGAAAGGAGTCCCTGTTTAATAAATGGTGTTGGGAAAACTGGCTAGCCATGTGCAGAAAGCAGAAACTAGACCCCCTCCTGACACCTTACACTAAAAGTAACTCCAGATGGATTAAAGACTTAAACATAAGACCTAACACCATAAAAAAACTCTAGAAGAAAATCTAGGCAAAACCATTCAGGACATAGGTGTAGGCAAGAACTTCATGACCAAAACACCAAAAGCATTGGCAACAAAAGCCAAAATAGACAAATGGGACCTAATCAAACTCCACAGCTTCTGCATGGCAAAAGAAACTCATTAGAGTGAATTGGCAACCAACAGAATGGGGAAAAATTTTTGCACTCTACCCATCTGACAAAGGGCTGATATCTAGAATCTACAAAGAACTAAAACAGATTTATAAGAAAAAAAAACAAGCCCATTCAAAAGTGGGCAAAGGATATGAACAGACACTTTACCAAAGAAGACATACATGAGGCCAACAAACATGAAAAAATGCTCATCATCACTGGTCATTAGAGAAATGCAAATCAAAACTACATTGAGATACCATCTCACGCCAGTTAGAATGGCAATCATTAAAAAATCTGGAGACAACAGATGCTGGAGAGGATGTGGAGAAATAGGAACACTTTTACACTGTTGGTGGGAGTGTAAATTAGTTCAACCATTGTGGAAGACAGTGTGGCGATTCCTCAAGGCCTTAAAAATAGAAATTCCATTTGACCCAGCAATCCCATTACTGGGTGTATATCCAAAGGATTATAAATCGTTCTACTCTAAGGACACATGCACACGAATGTTCATTGCAGCATAGTTTACAATAGCAAAGACCTGGAACCAACCCAAATGCCCATCAATGATAGACTGGACAGGGAAAATGTGGCACATATACCCCATGGAATATTATGCAGCCATCAAAAACGATGAGTTTGTGTCCTTTGTAGGGACATGGATGAACCTGGAAACCATCATTCTCAGCAAACTGACACAAGAACAGAAAATCAAACACCGAATGTTCTCACTCATAGGTGAGTGTTGAACAATGAGAACACATGGACACAGGGAGGGGAGCATCACAAACTGGGTCTGTCGGGGGAAAATAGGGGAGGGACAGTGGGGAGGTGGGGAGGTGGGGATTAGATAGCCTGGGGGGAAATGCCAGATATAGGTGATGGGGAGGAAGGCAGCAAAGCACACTGTCATGTGTGTTCCTGTGCAACAATCTTGCATGTCCTTCACATGTACCTGAAAACCTAAAATGCAATAAAAAATAAAAAACAGTAAAGTGAAGAGAACTTACAGTATGGGTGAAAATGTTCATACACTAGACATTCAATAACAGATTAATAAGCAGAATATATAAGGAATATAAACAATAGCAAAAAAAATCTGATTTTAAGATGGCCAGGGGTTTGAGTAGACATTTCTCAAGAGAAACATACAAATGGCCAATGGGTATATGAAAACATGCTCAACATCACTAATCATCAGAGACATGCGAATCAAATCCACAGTGAGATACTATCTCACCTCAGTTAAAATGTCTATTGTCAAAAGAAAAAAGGTAACAAGTGTTGGGGAGGACATGAAGAAAGGGAATCCTTACACACAGTTGGTGGAAATGTAAATCAGTACAGCTATTTCAGAAAACTGTATGGAGATTGCTTAAAGAACAAGAAAAAAGAACTACCAGATGATCCAGCAATCTCATCTCACTGCTAAGTATACATCCAAAAGAAAAAAAGAAAAAGGAAATATATGGCCGGGCGCGGTGGCTCACGCCTGTAATCCCAACACTTTGGGAGGCTGAGGCGGGTGGATCACGAGGTCAAGAGATGAAAACCATCCTGGTCAACATGGTGAAACCCCGCCTCTACTAAAAATACAAAAAATTAGCTGGGCATGGTGGTGCGTGCCTATAATCCCTGCTACTCAGGAGGCTGAGGCAGGAGAATTGCCTGAACCCAGGAGGCGGAGGTTGCGGTGAGCCGAGATCCCGCCATTGCACTCCAGCCTGGGTAACAAGAGCGAAACTCCGTCTCAAAAAAAAAAAGGAAATATATCAAAGAGATATCTTCACTCAGGATAGTTAATTGACTCACAGTTGTGCATAGCTGGGAAGGTCAGGAAACTCACAATCATGGTGGAAGATAAAGGAGAGGTAGGCACCTTCTTTATAAGGTGGCAGGAGAAAAAGAGAGAGAGCAGGGAAACTGCCACTTTTAATCCATCAGGTCTCATGAGAACTCCCTCACTATCATGAGAACAGCATGGGGAAAACGCCCTCATGATCCAGTCGTGGCTCAAGCCATCATTCCACCTCAGCCTCCAGAGCAGCTGGGACTACGGCTACAGGCACATTTTTGAGGTACAGCTGCCTGTGTGCCCCGGGGCTGCTCTCTCCCTGGAAGGGCTTCCTGGCAGAGAGCAGAATCGCTCAGCCTCAGGAGCTGCCTGGCTGTGTGTGTTTCTGTGCGAAGATTGGATGTCTCCGTGTGTGTGTGTGTGTGTGTGCGCGTGTGTGTGTGTGTGTGGTGTCTGGTGAAACAAATGTGGCTCGTGCACCAGGGCTCTGTTTCTCTCGAGTCCGCCTACCTTCTGATGCACCTCACTCTGTGGATCCACTGGGGCTGCGTGGCCGCGTTTTGTTTTGCTCGTGGTTTCAAAAGTCGCCGGCCCGCCTCCGGCACCGTCTCCAGCATTTTCCTGTGCGGCCGCTGCCTGAGCGCCCGTACGTTGCGGAGCGCCAACCAGGCACGCGAGTGCGCATGCGTCAGATGCGCCAAGAGGCGCGAGCGCTGAGCTGGGCCTCGTGTCCCAGTGACCGCCACAATTGCCTGGGGAACGGTCTGGGCAGCTTGGCGGAGCAGGATGCTCCTGTGGCAATGCGTCGGCATAGGGCTGTGGCCCCCTCTCCGGTAGATCGTGGCCCTGTTCTTGCCATCTTAGGAATCAAGCAGAGCCGAACCAGGCTGAAGAAACGTTAAGCGGCGCTTCAAGGATGCACCGTGTGATCTCCGTGTATCTCCCCTAGTAAATCTGGCCTGCCTAGACAGTGTAAGGGTGCGTCTCCTTGAAAGTTGTCTCCCCTGAATTCTCCCCTGAGAATTCAAGGTACGGCCTACCTGTGTACTGCGGGTCTGCTCTCTCTCCGGAGGGGCTTTCTGGCAGAAAGCTGAACCCCGCAGCCTCAGGAGCTGCCCTTTCTGTGCGTGTTTCTGTGCGAGTGTTGGATATTTCCGTGTGTCTTTCTGTGTGTGTGTGTGTGTGTGTGTGGTGTATGGTGAAACGAGTGTGGCCAGTGCAGTCAAGCGCGATTTCTCTGTTGTCCGCCTACCTTCTGGTGAGCGTCTGTTTTTGGCCCAGCTTGGGCTGCCGGTACGTGCGTTTTTTGCTCGTGGTTTCTAAAGCCTCAGTGTAGTAGGGGGCTGGCTCTGACCCACAGGCATCGTAATCACCTCCCCATCCTGAGGGGTCACTCTTCGAGAAAGACGACGAGCACAGTACACCCAAGAACAAACTCCTCCAGGGGCCCTTGGTCCTGCGGCACATCCACGGATGGGCAAACCCTAGTCTTCCAGTGTTCAGGACGGGAGGCGAGCACTCATTCATCCTCTTTGGATTGCATTCCAGGTCAGAGGATGTGTGCAGAAATAATAAGGTAAGATTGGGGTGAGGATATA